GATGAAATATACTTCAAAATGAGGATTTTGACCAAAAATCTTGAAGTTTGACTGTATGTGGGCCACAATTGACTTTTGCCCTAGCATGGTCGATTTTCAGGCCCTTAAGCAATTGACTGAGCAAACTTCCTCTGTAGGGATTGAAACTTGACATGGATGATTTTGAGAGCATATTAGGACAATGATGAGCATTTGGGATCCCTTGGACTCAAGTATCTTGATGCAACATGAAACCCTAATTTGAGGTAGACTGCCTTGGGAGAGAGCTTGTTTGGCCAACCCTTGGACTTCCTTGAGCAACTTGGAAATCTTTCTTGAAATATTTTGAGAAATATGGGAGGGAAAATTTTGGGGTACAACGGTGTGCCTCCAAACAGCCATACAAGGGTAATATACCTTCTAAGGAGTGTTGAGATAGATGTCAATTCCTTGGGTTTTATCTCGCCGGTGTAATGAGTTTGATTTAAAATCCCCATGAGTTGGCCTCTTGTCATGATAATAACTTCTTAATTCTCCAAATGAGTCGAGGATGATGTTTCCCTCTAAAGTTGTTATCCCATGAAATTTCATGATGTCTCTTCAAAGAAGTTTGCACAACTATTATGCTTGATATTGAAGATTGTATTTGGGCTCTCTTCGATGTGTACAGTTTATTTTTCCCCAATGAAGTTAGCATGACAACCCCCCGTTGAAGTCTCGACGATGTGGTTTTCATCTTTCCTATTAAGGTTTGTATCTACATCCCAAGTTGAAGTCTCGACAATGTGGTTTTCACCTTCTCTAGTGAAGTTAGTTTTGGAATCTCCAGGTAAAGTCTAGACGATGAGGCGTCGTCTTCCCCAGTCGAAGGTTGTATGACATTCCTGGATGAGACCTAGAAGAGTTGATTCTATCCCCGCAACTTTGTTTGTTGCTAGTTAGGTGGTGCTTTGATTATTTTCAAGCCATGTTCTTCCCAATGGAGTTAAGCTGTGAAGTAGGACTTTGTTTCCTCAGTGGGTGCTTACTCTCTTATAGAATCTTCATCCTGAATTTTATTTAGCCGAGTGTTGTCGTTACCCAATTTGGCTTTGTCTTGTTATCCCTAGTGCATTATGGTTGTTTTGTCAATATATAATTGATGACATTCATACATTCATACACATCATGCATAGCTGAGTAAAAATTTGTTGCTTTTTGCATTCATGGATATTTTTGTCGGCATGTTATCCTCTTTGAAGAGATATATTATCCCCTCTCCAATAGAGTGTCAACTTTAAATATAAAGTGTATATCCTTTAAATTTCCCCACAGAATTATCCCTCGTGGAAGAATTTTGCTTTAGCTTTCTCGTCCTTCCCATTATCTGGATGGAATCTGATCCCCTTTTGAGTTTACTTCTCATTAGGTATCATCTTGGTTGACCGTCTCACTCCGGTTTATTTCGAGTTTGAATTTTAGTCTCCGGCAATATTATTATTCTAATTTCTGTAGGCTCTGAGCTTTGGTTTGATAAGGTGCATTTATTTTGCACGCAAATACTTTTTTCCTCAACAGGAATGTATTAGTATTTCCCCAAGAAATCAAGCTTCATTTCCTGCCAGTCTTATTATAATTCCTTCTTAAACAGCAAGCGGCATTTCTCTTTATTTGAGCAACATGATCTTCCCAGTAAGTTTGTTAATGCTAAAGAAGATGTTATTCCAATGAATGGTAGTCTCGTCATTATGGGAGATAGTTCGTTGTTGAGATTTGTATTTCGATGAATGGTAGTCTCGTCATTATGGGAGATAGTTCGTTGTTGAGATTTGTATTTCAGACGAATGGTAGTCTCGTCATTATGGGAGATAGTTCGTTGTTGAGGTTTTTTACTCCAATGAATGGTAGTCTCGTCATTATGGGAGATAGTTCGTTGATGAAGATTTTAACTCCAATGAATGGTAGTCTCGTCATTATGGGAGATAGTTTGTTGTTGAGGTTTATATTCCGATGAATGGTAGTCTCGTCATTATGGGAGATAGTTTGTTGTTGAGATTGGATGTACTTCGATGATAAATACAGTTCTTTGAAAGATTCTTACAGCATATATTACCCTTTCCAGGTGAAATATCTTGGTTAAAGAAGAAACTGAGACCAGTTTGTGGCTTATGGTTAGGATCGAGGGGAAGTTTATCTGATTCTCCATCAAATGGTATCTCTTCGAAGAAGTTTCCAAAGAGAAGTTTATTGTGAAATCATTGCAAGTGGTAGTCTCTTTATTTGAGATAGCTTATATTGTTACCCTTTCCAGGTGAAATACCTTGGTTAAAGAAGAAACTGAGACCAGTTCGTGGCTTATGGTCAGGATCGAGGGGAAGTTTATCTGATTCTCCATCAAATGGTATATCTTCGAATAAGTCTCGCAAGAGAATTTTGTTTTGAAGTCATTGCAAGTGGTAGTCTCTTTATTTGAGATAACTTGTATTTTTACTCTTTCTAGGTAGAACGCCAGAATTTTGGGAAACTCATTATTGTTCTTTGAGACCTCACCTTCAGTAAAAGTTGGTGTATCTTTTTGTTGTTACCTTCAATAAAAGTCGGTAGCCCACCTTCAGTAATCATTGGTGTATCTTCTGTTTCTTTACCTTCAATAAAAGTCAGTATTGTCTTATGTTTTTTCTACCTTCATCTTTGAGTTGGTAGTTCAGCGTCATTCGTAGTCAACATTTATCTCTTCGTCCTTGTTAGACCTCACTCTGATTGAGTTGAGTTGTTTCTAAACATATGTATCTATACCAATCATTCACTTACTATTCTAGGTGTTGATTTTTATCGTCATCTGTGAGTCGGTACTATCTTTATCGTTTCTATTCGCACCCTTCTGTTTAGCAGTTGCCGGTCTTCTATGTTGATGTTACTCTCTTTCTGCTATCTTCTCTATGAGTGGATAGTTCACATTTATCGTTTAATCTTTGTTATTATCATTTTGTTGAGTTGATGTTATTTTGTCTCTTCTCTACACCTTACCCCAGTAAACTTGAGTCTTCTTTTTCCCAGCGGAGCCAATTTGTCTCCAATGGATTCAAATTTCTGTTCCCAGAGTCGTGTTGTTCCCCAGAGATTTATTTTTTCCTGGTCGACTTCTTTTTGGTAGTCTGTTGATTTTATTTTCACTTCTCCAGTGTGTTTTATTCATCTACATGAAGTTTACATTTTACATCCATAATCATGAGCATCACATGGCATCTTAGGGACAAAAATAAGGCTTGATTTATATTTAAGTATCTTCAATCACGTCGAGACGAAGATTTTAACCTTTGTGTCTCCGGATAGAAGACACTTATATAAGGGAAGCTGTTATACCCCAATTTTCCCCCTAAGATCCCTCACCACACTACATACATCTCATGCATATCATTGATACCATGGTTACATGATCAAAGGGCTTTTGGCATTAAGGTTTTTCTCTAGGACTAAGGTTGTTACCTTACTCAGAGTTGATTCAATTGGTGCTCCCATCATTGTTGGTATGAGACTAGGGTTTTGGATCACAAGCATCATAGGCGTCTTCATTGGCAAGGTTCCTCGAGATATAAGGTTGTCTTCATCAGAATTTCATCAAGGAACAAGGGCATTAGGGTTTAATTCAGCCAAAGAATTAGGGTCTCTCCTGTGTTATGCTTGAGCTTGGTATTATATCATCAATAGAGGTTCATCATGCTAAGTTTTTCCCTCAAGGCTACAAGGATTATCATTTTTTCCTTATTGTGATTTCATGATCATTGTTTAGGGTTCCTTTTAATTGCTTACACCACAAGTCAACCCTTATCAAGAGGCTTAAAGAATTGAATCAGGGTCTTCCTTCTGTTGACATATTGGTCGAGTGGTTAAGGTTTTGCTTTAGGATTTTATCGAGTCAATGCGTGTCATAATGCTTAAGATCTGGGTTAAGATCTCATCAACCTTCTCAAAAAAGGGATTTGGTGGTCGCTCGGATTCTTGACCCAAATGAAGATTAAGGATCATTGAAATTAGGGTTTTCATGGTCATATGTTCCCTTTCTATGTCCCAAGTACCATTCATCTTCTAAGATTCAAGGCATGTTTTTATCATATTAGATTGAAGTATAAGTATAAGGGTTTGAGATGAACTTGTGGATTTATTTTGATCAAGACACTTTGTTGCTTGAAATGCAAGAATATGGTCACCTGAGATTTGTAGCTAAAGTTTATTTGAGGGATGAAGAGATTTGGATTCATTGTTCGGTTAATAGTCATTCAAGTTTCCTAAAAAGTGCCCAAATGAATCAAAAACGCTTAATGTTTACAAAGTTGGAAAGGACATGTATTACTTTAAAGTGAAGTTACAAGTTACAATTTGCAAGAAAACATAATTCAAATTCATCTAAGCAAAGGCTTTCATGATTTACCATCAAAGGGCATCCAACATCCAACAATCAAAAGTTTCATACGAGATTCATTACAAAGGGAAAATTTGAGGAAGTTTTGTTCATTAATATCCTCGAGTCATTGGATGTTAAAACGCTCAAAAAGAAGGAATTGCAAGACAAAGTTTCTCTTACAAAGCCAAAACACCATTTCAAAACCCAAAAGCAAAAGGTATTGGTAGTTCTTACATGGAGATCAAATCAAAGAAGGTTGAGATTTCGAGTTCATGGTGAAAGAAGAAGTTTTGAATATATGGAGTTTCATTAATTGAATTCAAGAAAGTACAAAAGGTTTTGTTCCATTGTTATTACAAATTCATCACCATTACAAGATTACTTTCAAAACAAATTATAAGATTACATTAAAAACTTCATTTAAGCTCCATTCAAATTTCACAAGCTACAAGGGGTTCATCATTCCATTACGTTTTTGAAAGGTTACATGAAAAGGAAATTTCAATATAAGTTCATATCACCATCATTCAATTTATCAAGATACATACAAAATGCCATTATAAAACCCATGCTAAAATGTTTCTAAACCTTCAAAACAGTTCCAAATATGCTTCCAAAATATAACTCCACTTTTCTTACTCTATCCATAAACTCCCGCCTTGTGCCAAAGATAGCCAAACCGGTCTAGAAAATTCAATAATTTCAGCCCTGCAAAATAACCATGCCTTGCTGCAACTATTTTCAAACTATAGGCAGCCCTGCATCAATATAGAATCAGTTCAGAACATTCACAAAATAATAGTCTAAAAGCAAATTCAAATGAAAATCAGTTTAGCATAAGAATAGAAAACTCTAATCTCTGTATAAAATTTTCCCCTTCATTATGTTACATTTTCGCAATCACAGTAAATACACAGAGCTTTCGCTTCATTCTTCTCTCTAGATCTGCATCAAATATAGGAAAAGAGGATTCTGTCATAAGTCTGTCCCTGTAAGAAAACCAGTTCAGTTCACCATAAAATCTGCATATAACAAAAAAAAACAGTCTAGAAGATAGAACAGGAGCTAGTCATCTACTCACATTCATTTTTGAACTCAAGCCAAGTTAACTTTCAAACAATTCCTAACTGCCTAGCCTCAAGCCATTTTCTTGATGTGCTAGTGATAACCAAACTGCAGTTTGTCCAATAAACAAGTTCAGAGAAGGCAATTTTAAGTCAGTCCTCGCAAATCTCCCTGCATTAGGTTCACAAACAACTTATCGGAGGAAATCAATTAATAATCCAAATGGGGCCAATTGCATAACAGTTTTTTGTGTGTGCAGCAGTTCAATAACAAAAATAATAGAAGAAGATTGTAAGTAAAGGAGATTTAAATTCAGAAGAAAAAAAAGAAACCATTAACTCAATAACCAAATTCTCCAGCTTGTATAAGTATTCTTTAACTGATTCTCAAACAAAAAAAAACTAATCTCTAGCAATTCCCTAACTAGCTTTCTCACAACAACCAAAACAGAAATAACTTCTAACTGCATTTGCCTAACAACCTAGTACAAACTCCTAACTGATTCCTAACCACCTAATCTCTACCCTCCATTCCATAACAAACTCTCAAAAATATAACAACTAGGAGCTCTTCACTGGAACCTATATAACAGTTTTCTAACAGAATTGAGAGGGGAGGGGATTCATAACAAAAATTGATAAAAAATCAGAACCAGACCTCTTGATTTTCTCTCTTCCTCTTCCTTCAACCATTTTTTATTTCACAATTTTCCTGGAATTTTCACTTGATTCTTTGTCATCCTTAACTCTGCAACTTTCTTCTCTGCCAAAAGCATGATCATAGCTGCATTTTCAAGACTCGGGAATACATCTTTATCTGCTCTCTCTCTCTGAACCGTAGGAAGGTGAAACCGCATCAACCTTCTGTAACCAGCTTTGATCATCATTTTGAATCCGCTATTCTAATCTCTGCAAATCATCACGAATCCACCGTATCACCTTTAACACCATGATCCTTCACACTACAACAAAATCGTGACAATTTTCACCCTTTAATTCTCTTTGCATATAGAGCAATTGTAACTTTAACACATCAATGCAATCCACAAGAACGTGTTAAAATGGCATATGCGAAAGAATAACAACATCGTAAATGAACACAGAAGAAAACAAGTAGAAGAAGAACAAACAAGACATTGGGAGGGTTTACCTGAAGTTCTCATCACTGATACCGTCAAAGAGAAATCAGAGCCTCGTTCGAAGACTTGAAGAGGAAAACTCGCAATTGACAAGAAACTAAATCGAAGCTAAAAGAAGCTTGAGACGAAGGTTGTGACGCGATGTTAAGATTGAAGGAGGACGAGAGTTCTTCGTTCATGATGGAACAACATGCGAACAGATGTGAATAAGAGAAGATGTCGACCGCGTTAGCCATGACGATGAAATCACAACAGAGATATGGGGAGATGACGGAGCGAAGGGTGAATCAGTGACGAAGAATAAGAGAAGAGGTTTATGCGTCGTTGAGTTCGGAAGGAGAATAAAGTCGTGTATCGCGGAAATATGAAGAGTCGCTCATAGGTGAACCCTAGCCAACAAAATGGTATCGTTCCTATTCTCTTCTTCTTTAATTGTTGTTTTCACTTTTATTAATAATTAACAATAATTGAGAAAATATGTTGAAAGTAAATAAAATATGAAGTGTGTTTGGTGTTGTTATTGGGCCGTATCACACTCTCCCAAATCCCATCACCATTTTTGGATAAATTGAAGCATGTGCACAAAAAGATCTCATTGGACTGAGTTTATTTTAGGCTTAGTGCTTATTCCAGTTGCTTGCAGCACAAACCCTGATCCAGGAATTGCACTTCCTTTTTTCACTCATGTGCTACTTTCTTGTTAATTTATTTTTTTCAATTTTTTATTCTTAGTAATTGTTTGTGTGATTTCTTCATGATTTTGACTAATTTTTCATATGATAAAACAATAAAATTATGTATAATTTAGGATTTCCTCTTAAATATTTTTAGATAATAAACTACAAGATCGATTATTTTTTTTAGGCTTTTTATTTGATTTTAGGAAATTAATTCATAATGTTTTGATTTCTTGAGACTTGTGATTAACCTTTGCTTGTTGAGTTGAGTTTTATGCAGGTTTATTGTTTGATATGCGGACATGTTGGAATTTTCGATTGTGCTTTATTTTCACATCGATGATGCTTCGACACTATTTACGAGCATTCGATCTCTGACTATTTATTTTTTGATTCCAGCTCGCGTGAAGTATTCCGAGTTTATTTGCTTGGGTTGTGCTTTTTGCAGACCTTATTTTTCGTCTGGTATTATATTGCTTCCAATTTTGTTTTTCCGCATTTTATTGCTTTCTAGGTATCATGAGAAGTAGGAAATAAAGAGTGTACGCTCAAAGTCGCTATTTAAAGACTTGTAGTAGGAATTCCACACTTCATTTGATATATGTGACGTGCTTGTGTTTGTTTCCTTGGTTGTTGATCGATGAGTCACTCAATTTATAAATTGGGATCACGACATCGCTCTCAGTGCATGCTTCCTATAGGATTTTATCACTTTCCTTTAGTTCTTGTTGATCGACGAGTCATTCAATTTAGAAATTGAGATCACGACTTATCTCTCACCGTATGTTCCCCTAGGATAGTTTTGTTAGACTTTCTTAGGCATGATAACCTAGATAGGATCTCTCTAGGTGTGCTCTCTTGAGCTTATTGGCCTGCTTGCTTGATTTTGTATTTGTGTGCATCTTTTGAGATGATAGACCGTTGCTATGCTCCTTTAGGACTTCTTGATTCATCTATTGATGATGAGTTGAGATAGACATTAGGACTATTATCCAAGCATGTCAACTTAGGGCAGAGATTTCCCTTTAAAGCTCAACTTTAGGATCGATCATTGTATGATAACATTAGAGTTAGATTTAGGTTAGTCTCCCTCTAGACTTTTCTTTCCCCTTTTGCATTTGCATTAAAACAAAAACTTATTTTTCTAGCAAACTTCAAAACACTTAAATATTACTGATAAGAGTCATACCTTTGTTGAGCGTGGGAAATGATAAGTGAGTTTCCTCTCGATCTTATTGTTCTTCCATTCTAAGCATTGGTGTGGTTCAAGTCTCAAAGACTTATTTCACGAATAAGTAGAGAAATGGCTAATATCTCTCTCTTGAGATTAACTAGCTATTATTTGTAGCAAAAACACCAGTCGACACAAATTATTTTGCCTTTGGGTTTTTCTTTCAAAATTCGTTCCAAAAGGACATGTTAAGTCGCTGCTGTGCTGACGCGTAAGTCTCCAAATATTGAGTTGCGACAGAAGGAAAAATGAATACTGTTCATTAAAAAATACAAACAAACAAAATATGTGAGCCGAACTACGGCTGCTCTAATTCCTTAAAAGGGATACGTAGGCATTGGGGTAGGGCCCGAACGAGCACAACTTTTATTTTCCCTATGTTATTTTTCATTTATCTTTGCATGAATTCCCTCTTATCATTTTAGGAATCTTAAGCATTAGATTGAACACACCATTTGATTAGAACAACAAGAGTGGATCCTGTAGAGTACTATGGACGTATGGGGTGCTAATACCTTCCCCTCGCGTAATCGACTCCCTTACCCAATCTCTCGGTCGCAAGACCTTTATTTCCCCTTTAGGTTTTTCTTTAATGATTTTCCTTTCTCTTTTATGGTATAAATAAATACTCTGTGGCGACTTCATTGATTTTACTGCTACATTCCCGATGCGATATCATCAAAGGAGCAATTCTATGTTCGACCATAATCTTCACAGGGCCTTTGCAAGTAATCCTTATAGGAGTTCTGGAAATTACAGACATGCCTTCAAGATCTGAGTCTTGAAATAAATTCTCCATATAAGGAATCTTATCAACTAGAATTATATGGCTATTAATTAGACGCTAAATACTTTCTCTCGGCAGTTTCCTGCCATTGGATTGGGCTGTGCAGAAGTAGCATCTTTCAATGCAGCCCGAAAATAAATTGACTTGCAACAAATTCTTCTTAATAATTACCAGAGGAGTAATCAAGTCACTTATAGCGGAAACATAAGAAACATCATCAATGGTGTTGATGCCTTTGTCGTGTTTAGGCATGGGTGCAGTAATCACGTTGGGGGTCTCAGGAGGATCAAACTCAATCTCTTTGGAGTCAATCATATCTTGAATCTTATTTTTCAAAGCCCGACAGTTATTTTTCTCATGTTCGGGAGTATTGGAATGATAGGCATTGAAGCTACCGCAGAAAACACAACTTCCACCAAACTTTATTTATCCTGAAGGAAGGGGAAATATCGAGAAAACCACAAGAGGAAGGATAAGATGATCTTGCGACCAAGAGAAAGGGTAATGGAGTCGGTTATGCAAGGGTAAGGTATTAGCACCCCTCACATCCATTGTACTCCACGGGATCCATTTTGTTCGTTTGCTTCTAAGGGTGTGTTTATCTATAATTATACTTGCTAAGGGGAAAAAATAGTTTTTATTAGTGCGTTCGTGAGGTTCTCGCAACCCTTTGCCTACATATCTATTGAAGGAATCAGAACATCATAGTTCCTCTAGAAAATGTTGGTTTGTTAGTGTTTTTTAGTGGGCGACGTTAATGCACGAATTCTAGCAATAGGCACGACCTGTATCACGGTAGAACGGAGATAACATGCCCTTTAGGGGATGTTTTGATTGGTTAAGTGTTTTGTGAGTTTTAGAATGAATTCGAGTAATGATTAAATGTTTTTGGATTTTTTATTTTTGAATGATAAGTTTTAATTACAAACGAAGAAAAAGGTTTAAGAGGGAGACTAGAAAAACCCTAATGTTGTCATGCATAGGTTCCAACCTAAGGTCTAATTAGTTCACATTTTAAAGAAGAGGAAACTATCATCCTAAGGGAGCATGTTATAAAAATAAAGTAAAAAGATACGTGTTTGTGAAGAGTGCTCAGGTAGGGGGATAATGGAAAAATGGACGACAAAATGAGTAGTATCATGAAAGGTGTAAATGGAATGCTTGGTATAAGGGATTTGAATCTGGTTATGATTAACCAAGGGGTGCACTTGATTAATCTTGTGAGAATAGGTTCTCCTACCCTAAACTATGAGAACCTTTGTGCATGGAAAAACTTGGTATATGGACCAAAGTGGTTGATTCGGGTTATGGTTAACCAAGGGTAAAACTTGATTAACCTCGTGAGAATGACCATGCCCAAACTCAACTATGAGACCCTTTAAGAAAAGCTCTGTATGTGAACCGAGGAAATAGAAAAGTGGCTTCAATATATAAGAAAAAATCAAAATCCCATACAAGGTGGAATATCCATGCTCCTAGAAAGTGGGACTAGCGTGTTTCTAGTATTCTAAACGACCAATTGAAACAATCGATCAAATAGTTATTACCGTAAGAAAACCCAGGACCAAGCTATAAAATGTGTACAGATGTGCATTTGTAAGTGGATACATGCTCATTGATGATGAACCCAAGAGGAGGCCATGTGTTCTAATTGAATGACATATGCATAATTAAGCAACAACTAAAACATACAAAAAAGTAAACCCTAAGCTATTACAATCATATGGGATGGGAGTAAAAATTTACAAATGGGGAGGTAAAAGAAAATAAAACCTAATTGTATTATTACAACCATTATGGATGAACAAATAGTATGCAAGAATGTAAAATAATAATAAATTTTTTTTTATGTATTGACACATGATGGTTTGCATCGATACATATCTTTTCTCTCCCCTTGAACTCAAAATCAACTCAGTATGAGTCGACACATAAGGGTTTGTATTGACTCATAACCTATTTGTATCGACACTTGCACATTTTATGTCGACTCATAACCTATTTTGTGCCTAATATGCATCGACTCATAAAGATATGTGTCCACTCATACTATTGTTTTTTTTATTTCTAACATTGTTCTGATATATGTAAATGTCATTTCTCAATATATAATTGATAAAAATGAAAAGCAAGCATGTGGTTAGCTTCAAGGCTATGATATCTACATTTATCTTCAAAAATGAATCACTAATGATGCTTGAAATGAAGAGCTCAAAGTCAAAAAGACTTACCTTGAAACTGCAATTTGTGTTTTGAGTTTGAACACCTTTCAAGAGGTTGTGATGACCAGAATGGCTTCAGTGAACTTCTAGGAAGTTTCTCCAATCTTTACTTTATATTGAAAGTTGTTGAATAACTCCAATGCAATCAAGTGGTATAATACTATTTTTTCTGTTTGTGTTTAGAAGGTGGTGAGAATGGTATCACAGAGACAGTTTTTTGAATAACTTATATGTGAAGTGTTTGGATAGTTTGTTTAGTGGGAAACTTGTAAGTTTGTACAGTGGGTTGAAGGTGTTTTCTGTTTCTATTTTCCTTTTG